GTGTGATGTGTGTATTCCCTCACACTACCTTGTTCTTCATCTTGTCTTGTCTTTGTCTTAGTTCTTTTCTTGTTTCTATTCTTATTCTGATTTTGTTCTTGTTTCTTGTTTCTGTTTTATTTCTTTTCTTGTCTTGTCTTATCCTTATCTTGCGAAAGCACTTAACACCACTCTTTTGTCCAGCTTGCACTGATCCTCCCGTAATCAGTGCATAATACAAATACAGTAAATCATTCTTAAATAGTACTTTATTAAGTTGGCTAAAAAAAAAGAGTGAAGCAGTTACAGTACTGTATAATAGAGTTTTCTTCATTACATACTATACTGTAAGACATTGAATATAAAATTAGTACTATGGTCAGTCAATATTTTATCAGGGCACCCAAAGTGCATGATGATTTCTTTATAGATGAATTGAGTGATAGCTTGACTGATAGCATCAGGAACTGTGCAAGCAATAGGCCAGTTTGTTAAATAGTCAACTGCAACTATAGTGACTCAGGAAATTGATCTAATGTTTGTTGATTTTTTACTTTATTGCAATTATCTCTACAATCACTACATCTACTGTATCCACCCAAATAAAAAACATGTTGTAGCTACTGTATACAGTAACTTCTAGCTTTAAAAAAATGATGAAGATTTTAGTATAAGTAGATGATAAATAATCAGATTTCTACATGACTGCTCATTGGATTAATTTTCTAAGTTACACTTACTGTACTTATTGAATCAATAATCAATCTGTCTATCTTTGGCCTTAATGACTGCCTTTAAATATTGAGGTATAGTGATAATATAGTATACTATACTTCTGGCATGCCTCCTTTGTCACCTTGTTGTACCAGATATAATGGACCCGCCTCCATAACTCTTCCATTGATGTGGGTGCTTCATTATAATCAGCAAGCTGACACTTCAGATAATACCACATATTTTCAATAAGATTCAGATCAGGAGAGTAAGGGAGCCACTGAAGTACTTCAATACCCTTGGATTCAAACCATGCTTTTGCTTTTTGGATGTGTGCTTAGAGTCATTATCTTGTTGAAAAATGATATCGTCAATTTGTATACCATATTCTTGAAGGTTACTAAGTATATCATCCTCCAAAATATCACAGTATAAAGCTGCGTCCAATCCTCCTTTAATTTTGATAATTAAACCAGGGCCATTGGCAGTAATGCAACTCCAAAGAAAGAGACTGCCGCCTCCATGCTTGGTAACATGATTAATGTTGTGATCTCTAAGTGGTTGCCCCTTCTGTGTCCATGTCTACTGCTTACCATCTGATCCTAAGCGATTGATTTTTGTTTCATCAGAAAATACTACTCTGTTCCAGTCTTCAACAGTCCAAGAATGATTCTTTTTACAAAGGTAAGGCGAGCTTTCTTCCTGGAGAGGATCAAAGGCAAGGCGTCAGGTTTATGCATGGACTTACAGTGACTCAAAAAAGTGGGGCAATGTTTGTAAAAAATGTCTATTTAAATAAATTTCTCAAAAATGGATGATTCAAATTAAATGATATTTCATACAGATAAACTACAGATAGTACTCTAAAAAATAAAATAAAAACGAAGCAGATTGATTGGCTAGATCTAGAGAAATCGCCGATTAAAATATATTATGCATTGCCCCACTTTTTTGACTTATCTAATTTTTATTATCTACCACTTTGTTTGTCCACCTTTAGCCTGAATCACAGCCGCCAAACATGGAGGAACAGCCACTACCCTCAGAACGTATCATGAATGTTGACGACCTCACAACATCATGATACCACACCCATAGACAAGTAGCAACACTTTGTTTATGCTACCCACGTCAGACACCCCCACTGACCTTTTTTTTTAGTTTTTGATACAATTAATAATTTAATGACATAATAATATATTTTTATTTTAATTTTTAAATCAGATATAAAAAATAATAAATTTTGTATCTTTAAAATATAATATATATTTTTTAAATATTATATTATATTATAATGATAACAATAGTTCCTCTTATCTGTCAATCGCCCGGTGGCTTCTTTATTATTATTTTTTTCTTTTTAAAAACAATCTAATGACTGAAAATAAAAAATAAAAAATTATTTTATTTTTAATTTTGCCAGTCTATTAGCTAAGAGGAACAGCCACTACCCTCAGAACGTATCATGAATGTTGACGACCTCACAACATCATGATACCACACCCATAGACAAGTAGCAACACTTTGTTTATGCTACCCACGTCAGACACCCCCACTGACCTTTTTTTTTAGTTTTTGATACAATTAATAATTTAATGACATAATAATATATTTTTATTTTAATTTTTAAATCAGATATAAAAAATAATAAATTTTGTATCTTTAAAATATAATATATATTTTTTAAATATTATATTATATTATAATGATAACAATAGTTCCTCATACTGGCATACTTTCAATATGCTTCACACACATTTCCTTCGTTACTTTTTGGTACCAGACATCTCCTGTACGCTTCCAAAGTTCAGTGATGCTGGTGGGTGCTGTATCATATCTACAAAGCTGACACTTAAGATAATACCATAGGTTCTCAATGGGGTTGAGATCTGGAGAGTATGGAGGCCAATCCAAAACGTTAACCTGATTGTCTTCCAACCACTGGCATGTCAATTTTGAGGTATGCTTAGGATCATTATCATGTTGGAAGATAACATCCTTCAAATCTATATTATAATCATGCAAGGTTCTGAAGAGATCATCTTGCAGAATCTTACAATATAGATCAGAATTCATACATCATCGATCTTGGTAATGTAGCCAGGACCCTCAGCAGTGATACAGCTCCATAGCATAATGCTACCACCACCATGCTTGACTGTAGGATTAACGTTATGATCGCGAAGAGGCTCTCCACCTTTCACCCAAGTCCAATGCTTCCCATCAGAACCTAAACGATTGATTTTAGTTTCGTCACTAAACACCACACATTTCCAATCATCTACAGTCCAATGTTGATACTTCTTTGCAAACTGTAGACGAAGCTTCTTGCGTCTTGGTGTCAATGGAAGTGCGTTTGGTTTAATTCGCGATTCAAAACCACATGCTGAAAGGTGATTTCGGATAGTTTGGGCGGAAATAAAAGTATTTTCTGCTGCAAGCTGTCTTGCAGCGTCAGCAGCAGTAGTGTAAACACCAGTGGCGAACTTGCGCAAGATGAGCCGCCTAAGATTAGTGCTGATTGTTGATGGGCGGCCATTGGCAGCATTAGACTGAATGTCTAATTGCTTAGCAATTCGTCCAATCGTTCGACGTGAAACGCCAAGAGCAGCTTCAATAGTCCGTTGGGACTCTCCACGTCACAAATGTACTTCAATATTCTGAGTGGTGGTGGTGGGAATTGACTTCATGTTAGGATGGTTGCTAATTGCGAAAATCGTTGGTAATTGGTGAAGAGAATGGGGATGAATCACTTGATTTCGAAAGGGAAAAAAAGAGAAGATCTTGTTTTGATAGTGTCCATGATTTTGAAGAATTTCGGACAGCAGTCACTTAGGAAATTCGCGCCTGCCAATTTTTTTCTATACAACTCAAAAAAGTAGGGCAATGACATATAAAATCGAATCGCCCATAACTTTACAACCAGACATGGGAACAATATGAGTAAAAATTCATTCGAAAGGTAATTAAAAGAGCTTTTATTTAAAAAAAAGAAAACTGTACTTTATTATGTAGGAAATTACGAAATTAAATAAAACGCACATTTTTTGCAAATATTACCCCACTTTTTTGAGTCACTGTATCTATATCGAGATAATAAATACACATACAGTATCTTTAGATAATAAATGTGTATTTAAAGCTACAATTTTTAAAATATTTAAATAAATGATAATTTATTTTTAAAAATATATAAAAATGTATCAATAGTTTTTTAATTGTGTTTTTAAATAAATAAATGGTCAGAGAAGGTGTCTGACATAAATAGCATAAATAAAGTGTTGCTACTTGTCTATGGGTGTGGTATCATGATGTTGTGAGGTCATCAACATTCATGATACGTTCTAAGGGTAGTGGCTATTTCTCTTAGCTAATAGACTGGCAAAATTAAAAATAAAATAATTTTTTATTTTTTATTTTCAGTTATTAGATTATTTTAAAAAGAAAAAAATAATAATAAAGAAGTCACCGGGCGATTGACGGATAAGAGGAACTATCTATATCAAGATAATAAATACACATATCTTTAGATAATAATGTATATTTAAAGATACAATTTTAAAAATATTTAAATAAATGATAATTTATTTTTAAAAATATATAAAGGCAAAGGTCAACAAAAAGTGACTGTTGAGTTTAAAATTTGAACATTTAAATCGCCGACATTTTTTTATAGATCAGATAAAGAAACTGAATTTCAATATGTAATAAAATTAAGATAAATATAGATCATGTTAATGAATTTGTTTTGAAAATAAAAAGATCTGTCATTATAGATTGTATGATCAAAAATAATATTAAAAATATAAATATAATGATCTCCATTAGTTTTTTAGATGCATCGTTTTGGTATCTTTTTCGAAATGTGAATTTTAGTAGATAATTAGCATATCCTTTTACATTATCTTTGTGTATTCCAGGCATGAAATTATGAGTATGTTTCCACCATCCTTCAATTGAGTTTGTATGTGCACCTGTGATAGGATCCTTGAACTGCTTTGAATGATTGACAGAAAGATGCTCGAATTCAAGAATAGGTTTTATGTTATCATATTCTTTTCAGCGATCTATTATAATAATTGTTCCTGGTAAAACGTGCTTGTCAATAAGAGGAACTAAAAATTAAAAAAATTAGATAATCTATTAGATGAAACTTCAGATATACTTATGTAGAGTTCCTTCATTTCTATTTTCAACAGATATAAGAAAAAATCTTGGAGGATTACTATGACGTTCATATCCGCCAACTATCCATATATCATTTCTTCTTCTTATCATATAATACAGTATTCCATATAGTAAATACTTTAATAATTAAATATATATGTATGTATTATTTTATCTCCTCTATTATGTTTTCTTTTACCAAATTTTGCTTTGTCTATTTCAACAACTTTTCCAGGTCCTCCAATTTTGTGCTGCCATTTATTTATATCATTTAATATCCACCTAAATATCTGCTCTTGGAATACAGAAAACCAGTAGCTGATTTTGTTGATGCTTAATGAAAGTAACTTATGAATCAATTTTCTTGGAAGATCTACAATATCTTTAGTATATTAAGTATATAAAGGCTAACTTTTTACCTTTTTCTCATAAATATATCAGTTCTATCATTTTTCGAGGTGATATCTTGGAATTTTGAAAAATACTTCCAACAAAAACCCTATTCACTTTGCTATATTTATAGCATTTCCATCTGTAACTATTTGACCATTTGCATAGTCTCATAATATGTTGACAGTTTGTACAATATCCTTTTGATATTATACTATTGTTTAATATTCAAAACATTGCATCTTTATCATTTTGGATTTGTTTATTCAGATCGGTATAGTTTTTAAACAACATGATGATTGAGAAAGAAAGATTTAGGCACCAGAAATTGTCCACAACAATGTTGGTTGCTATATATTCATACTCCGCTAAAAACATTTTCTATATTTGGATATTCACCTTTTGTTGTATGCTGCCTATATAAAAATGTATTAATAGTTTTTTAATTGTGTTTTTAAATAAATAAATGGTCAGAGGAGGTGTCTGACATGGGTAGCATAAACGAAGTGTTGCTACTTGTCTATAAGTGTGGTATCATAATGTTGTGAGGTTGTCAACATTCATGATACATTCTAAGGGTAATGACTGTTTCTCAACTTGAATCTTATAATCCTAGTATTCAATACAAATCTGATACCAAAAATATTGTCTCTGATTTACTTTCCCATTTTGATGGCCCTTTATGTGAGCCTGAACCTTTTAAAATCAAGCCAAAGTATCTCTACAGTATCAATGAACCTGAAGAACCCCACATCGATTCCTATAATGATTGGCCCCACTGGTATGTGAAAGACCCAGAAACCTGGCCTGCTGAAATCAACACAAAACTCAAGCAGTACTATGACTATCCACGATAACATGATTTTCTACCATCTACAGAAGAATCATCCTAAAGAACTTCAATACCTTTGTTTTGTTCGCCATGCCGACTTAATTCAAGATTATTACAAAGGCTTTGGGTATACTGGAACTGCAACTATATACAACCTGATGAAGACTCATTGGTGGTGGCCTGGAATGCATAATACAGTGACTCAAAAAAGTGGGGCAATGTTTGTGAAAAATGTCTATTTAAATGAATTTCTCAAAAATGGATGATTCAAATTAAATGATATTTCATACAGATAAACTACAGATAGTACTCTAAAAAATAAAATAAAAACGAAGCAGATTGATTGGCTAGATCTAGAGAAATCGCCGATTAAAATATATTATGCATTGCCCCACTTTTTTGACTTACCTAATTTTTATTATCTACCACTTTGTTTGTCCACCTTTAGCCTGAATCACGGCCGCCAAACGTGCTGGCATACTTTCAATATACTTCACACACATTTCCTTCGTTACTTTTTGGTACCAGACATCTCCTGTGCGCTTCCAAAGTTCAGTGATGCTGGTGGGTGCTGTATCATATCCACAAAGCTGACACTTGAGATAATACCATAGGTTCTCAATGGGGTTGAGATCTGGAGAGTATGGAGGCCAATCCAAAACGTTAACCTGATTGTCTTCCAACCACTGGCATGTCAATTTTGAGGTATGCTTAGGATCATTATCATGTTGGAAGATAACATCCTTCAAATCCATATTATAGTCATGCAAGGTTCTGAAGAGATCATCTTGCAGAATCTTACAATATAGATCAGAATTCATACCACCATCGATCTTGGTAATGTAGCCAGGGCCCTCAGCAGTGATACAGCTCCATAGCATAATGCTACCACCACCATGCTTGACTGTAGGATTAACGTTATGATCGCGAAGAGGCTCTCCACCTTTCACCCAAGTCCAATGCTTCCCATCAGAACCTAAACGATTGATTTTAGTTTCGTCACTAAACACCACACGTTTCCAATCATCTACAGTCCAATGTTGATACTTCTTTGCAAACTGTAGACGAAGCTTCTTGCGTCTTGGTGTCAATGGAAGTGCATTTGGTTTAATTCGCGATTCAAAACCACATGCTGAAAGGTGATTTCGGATGGTTTGGGCGGAAATAAAAGTATTTTCTGCTGCAAGCTGTCTTGCAGCGTCAGCAGCAGTAGTGTAAACACCAGTGGCGAACTTGCGCAAGATGAGCCGCCCAAGATTAGTGCTGATTGTTGATGGGCGGCCATTGGCAGCATTAGACTGAATGTCTAATTGCTTAGCAATTCGTCCAATCGTTCGACGTGAAACGCCAAGAGCAGCTTCAATAGTCCGTTGGGACTCTCCACGTCGCAAACGTACTTCAATATTCTGAGTGGTGGTGGTGGGAATTGACTTCATGTTAGGATGGTTGCTAATTGCGAAAATCGTTGGTAATTGGTGAAGAGGATGGGGATGAATCACTTGATTTCGAAAGGGAAAAAAAGAGAAGGCCTTGTTTTGATAGCGTCCATGATTTTGAAGAATTTCGGACAGCAGTCACTTAGGAAATTCGCGCCTGCCAATTTTTTTCTATACAACTCAAAAAAGTGGGGCAATGACATATAAAATCAAATCGCCCATAACTTTACAACCAGACATGGGAACAATATGAGTAAAAATTCATTCGAAAGGTAATTAAAAGGGCTTTTATTTAAAAAAAAGAAAACTGTACTTTATTATGTAGGAAATTACGAAATTAAATAAAACGCACATTTTTTGCAAACATTGCCCCACTTTTTTGAGTCACTGTACAGTGACTCAGGAAATTGATCCAATGTTTGCCGATTTTTTACTTTATTGCAATTATCTTCACAACCACCATATCTATCCACCCCAAATAAAAAATATGTTGTAGCTATAACTCCTAGCTTTAAAATAAAAAAAAGATGAGGATTCTAGCATAAGTAGATGATGAGTAATCAAGGTTTCCACACGACCGCTCATTGGATCAATTTTCTGAGTTGCACTTACTTATTGAATCAATAATCAATCTGTCCACCTTTGGCCTTGATGACCGCCTCCAAACGTCGAGGCATGGTGGCAATATACTTCTGGCATGCCTCCTTTGTCACCTTGTTGTACCAGATATAATGGACCCGCCTCCATAGCTCTTCCATTGATGTGGGTGCTTCATCATAATCAGCAAGCTGACACTTCAGATAATACCACATATTTTCAATTGGATTCAGATCAGGAGAGTAAGGGAGCCACTGGAGTACTTCAATACCCTTGGATTCAAACCATGCTTTTGCTTTTTTGGATGTGTGCTTAGGGTCATTGTCTTGTTGAAAAATGATATCGTCAATCTGCATACCATATTCTCGAAGGCTACCAAGCATATCATCCTCCAAAATATCACAGTATAAAGCTGCGTCTAATCCTCCTTCAATTTTGGTAATCAAACCAGGGCCATTGGCAGTAATGCAACTCCAAAGAAAGAGACTGCCGCCTCCATGCTTGGTAACATGATTGACGTTGTGATCTCTAAGTGGTTGCCCCTTCTGTGTCCATGTCCACTGCTTACCATCTGATCCCAAGCGATTGATTTTTGTTTCATCAGAAAATACCACTCTGTTCCAGTCTTCAACAGTCCAAGAATGGTATCTTTTTGCAAAGGCAAGGCGAGCTTTCTTCCTGGAGGGGGTCAAGGGCAAGGCGTCAGGTTTATGCATGGACTTATAGTTGTTGGCCTGCAAAAAGTCCCGAATCGTCTGGGGAGCAATAGGCGTGGTGGAGGAGAGTTGTCTGCTGGCGTCCACAGCCGTTTTATACTCCCCAGTGTTGAAGCGTCGAAGGATCAGGCGTCTCAATTGTGTGGTAATCAGCGATGATCGTCCAGCGGAATTAGTGGCAGGAATGCCTAATTGCTTGTGAATTCGTCCGACTGTGGAAACACTGACGTTGAAACGTGAAGCAATAACTCTGTGAGAAACGTTCTCGCGAAGTTGTTGTTCAATGTTGTTGATTTTATCTTGTGAAATCGGATGCATCTACAGATGATCATGTTAATTAGGTCAATTAGGAATCGGATGAAGGAATTGAGCGAAATGGATGCGGATTTCACCTTGAATCGGAATAAATAACTGAAAGAAGTGAGAAGGAGAAAAAATTCGGCGATTCTATTTACTTATTGTGACTGTCCGCAAGAAAAGTAGGCAACTCAGGAAATTGATCCAATGAGTACTTGTGCAGAAAAAACGATTACTCATCATCTACTTATGCTAGAGACCTCATCTTTTTTTTGTTTTAAAGCTATGAATTAGGGCTACAACATATTTTTTTAACGGAAACAATACGTATGATAGTTGTGGAGATAATTGTAATAAAGTAAAAAATCGGCGAACATTGGATCAATTTCCTGAGTCACTGTAATATCCAAGCCTGGACTAAACTTATCTATCATGTTAATTAGCTGTCAACCAAGATCATAATATTCACAAGACCCTCATACACAATTTGAAAGTTTCCACCATCTTCTCCCACTGGCATCTGGATTTTATCAGTGAACTATCAATGACAAGCAATAATAACTCATAGATACTCATTACTGTCAATTATTTTACAAACTGGTCAATCGCTCGTGCAGTATCCGAGGCCACTGTTGCTGCTATTATTCAATTCATTTATGAAGAAATAATCCTTTATTTTGGTTGTCTTGACGAAATTCTAACTGATCATAGCCCTAACTTCATGTCTCAAGTGGTATCCAGATACAGTACGTCATACAGTATGTTCGCCTGTCACATCTGCAAGCATTGTACTACTGGTCTTAGTCCTTTTTTCATGGTATATAGTCAAGAACCCGTCTTACCAGGTGACCCTCTTCAGCCCATCATTGTGAACAAACCTTCAGCTGATCCTCAAGCTATTGTTGATACTCATAAACCTGGCCTTCTACGGCTCCAAGCCGATTGCTTAGCTGCTACTAAATGACTCTGCGAGAATGTTGAACGTGATAAAACCCTCTGGGATGCCGCCACGAAACATCAAGTCTTCTCTGTGGGCGACCACGTTC